TTTGGAACGACAGCTACTGTTAGACTACCGGGTGATATGAAGAAAGCCGAGTATGGTCAGAAGAAGGAAAAGAGAATTGCCGTGGAGGGAGCGGACCTAACGCTTACCCATGGATTGTATACCGTAAACATTCAACTATAGATGTATCCCGAAATGGAATATATTAGAATCATGGAATTTGACACCGAGATATCCCGAATCGCACTCGCTTAATCCCGCATCTCCACATTCCGGGAAGAAAATAAGAAAATACCAGTCATGAAGGACTCCCCAGAATGGCATATGCTCCACCCCCACAACCATAAACATACCGGCAACAATCACCGACTAACACCTTAAGAGCTTATTCCAGCTAGTCTCCGTCTTCGGGAAAGATCAGACCGAAAGTCTGTGCTTGAATCTCGCTTCGCCGTGGCGAAACCCGGAAAACCCGTTGGGCCACACCCCGGGTATGGGTCATGCCAAGGCTAGAGTCTTTATACCCTCCTGTTGGATGTCTATATAACGTCGATCCCCACGGGGTATATCCCCAGACTGTGAAGTGGTTCTACCATAGCATTATTCTACACCATGCCTAATCTTAAGACCTTGTTAACGGCCGTGTTCCTAGCCACTGGAGGTAAACCACACACCCCAATCCAATCCAGTCTATAACTATAAACACAAAGAATCAAAGCTAACAACCCCAGGTTTCCTCTTTGGCTATGACAGCGGTATCATCACCTCAACAATTGGCCAAACCCAATTCATAAAATACTTCTCCAACCCCAGCGACACAGTAACCGGCGGAATCGTCTCAGCCTTCCAAGGCGGCGCCATCCTAGGAACAATCATCAACATCTTCACCGGTGACCGACTCGGCCGTAAATGGTCTGTCTTCACTGGTGCCTGTATCTCCTGCTTTGGATGTGCGTTGCAGGCTGGCGCCGTTAATATGGTTATGCTCATTATCGGCCGCTTTATTGCCGGCGCTGCTGTTGGTATGCTCACTTCGGTTATCCCCATGTATGCCGGTGAGATTGCCGAGTCTTCATCCAGAGGTATGATGTCTGGATTGTTGCAGTGGATGCTGAGTTGGGGTTTCTTGGTTGCGCAATGGTTGGGTTATGGGTGTTCTTTCAATGAAACTGAGTTCCAGTGTAAGTGCTTCTAGCCGTTATGACTGTACCGTATCGCCTTTCATGCTGACATCCATCTCTAGGGCGCTTTCCTCTCGCTTTCCAATGTGTCCCCGGTTTAGCCCTCATCAGTGGAGTCCTATTCCTAAACGAATCCCCCCGCTGGCTGATGGAAAAAGACCGCCACGAGGAAGCCCTCGCCGCCCTCCAGAACCTCCACGGCGACGGCACCCCGGAGAAAACACAGTACATCGAGCTCGAATTCCAAGAAATCCGCGAGACAATCCAAGCAGAGCGCGCTCAGACCAAGATCTCCTGGACAACCATCCTCCGCAAACCATCCTGGCGCCGCCGTCTCATCCTCGGCTGTGCTGTGCAAGCCTTTGGCCCTCTATCCGGTATCAACGTGATCAACTACTACGGCACACGTATCTACTCTTCCCTCGGAATCGACACCCAGACTTCCCTCATGATCATCGGTATCAGCGGTGCACTGTCAATCGTCTATTGCACAGGTGGTCTCTGGGCTCTTGAGCGTGTCGGCCGTATCAAGCCGCTCATCTTCTCGGCTGCGGGTATGGCTGCTGCACTCGTCTGCAATGCTGCCATGTCGCAGCATTTCAATGAAGAAAATACGAACCAGCTTCGGGCTATGGTCGCCATGAACTTCGTGTTTAGTTTCTTCTATACATTCGTCGGTATCATCTCTTGGGTTTACCCTGCTGAGATTTTCCCCGTTGATGTCCGCAACCAGGGTAACTCTATTACCACGTTCACGAATTGGACTATTAATTTGGTCTTTGCGCAGTTCTCGCCTAATGCGCTGTCGACTATTGGGTTCCGCTATTTCTATGTCTTCTTTGTTTTTAATTTGGTCGCTATGTTGTCTTATATCTTCTTCTTCCCCGAGACGAGGGGTAAGACGTTGGAACAGATGGATATCCTGTTTGGGGATGAGGCACCGGCTGGTCTTGAGAACGAGAAGGAGACTGTTGAAGTGGTGGAACATGCTAGCAAGTGAGCGAATCATGTTGACTGCTTGCTTGACTTTGATGATGATGTGTGGAGAGTCCTACGACTGTTATTGTCCTATATGCCAATGTATTCAATATTAATTATTTCACTATAGCCACTCCTTCCGCGACATCGTACAAAAGAGCCACCTACATAGTCTATAACCGACAGGTCTGTCGAAATGGCAACGCGATCTGATCTTCTTTGTTGCCATATACTCGAGCGCTGCATCTATCCAAGCGACTGCGATATTGATGTTGCTCGTTAACTTGTTTGAACAAACTATAAGAATCAATACGGTTATTTCTTTGTTCTTGTATCTCAGACCAAATCTATCTCATATCCACCCAAGTTACACATCCCACCAACCCTCCATATAAGACCTCAAATCCAGCTCCTCCGGTAACCGCAAATGCGGCGTCAACTCCGCACCAGGCGTGATCTCCTTAGTAGTCCACCCATTCCCAAACCAAGCAAACCGATTCCCACTAGCATTAACATAAGAATACTCCCAATCCTCCCAGCGCGGATCCCTCCGAATATAATTCGCATGCGACGCACTGCCAGGGAATAACCCATGAATCCTGGACCCCGGTTTGCCACCATTATACCACGAGCTACAATTCGCCGACCAGACAGTCCGCGGGTAGAAATTGTCGCAGTATTCGACGAAGTCATCCGCTGCTGCCTTGGATGGCGCCATTGATTTGATGCCCTGACTGCGGAGTTTGCGGAGTACTTTCGCGATGTATGTTACTTGGTTTTCGACGCTGTTGGGTACTGTGCCGCTGTGGCCTGAGGAGTAGGGCCCACCGAGCCAGAGGAGGTTTGGGAAGCCTGGTGTTGCGAAGCCGAGGTAGGAGTATGGGAAGCCGAAATGGCCGTTGCGCTTCCAGGCAGTTTTTAGGTCGATCCCGTTGGCGATTATTGAAAAAGGGGGTGCGTGGTCTATGTTTGCTCCTGTTGCGCAGATTGTTATGTCTACTTGTCGTTCTGTGCCGTCTTCTGTGACGATGCCTGTTGGGGTGAAGCGCTTGATTTTGGTTTGGATGTAGCTGACGTTGGGTTGGGATAGGGCTTCGAGGTAGCCTGGTCCTGGTGTTGGGCGGCGGCAGTTGGGTGGGAAGTCGGGGACGATCTTTTCTCCTAGTTCGGGTTTGTCTTTGATGCGTTGGAGCATTAAGTTGGTCCATTTCTCTTTTAGAGCGTGGTTCTCCGGTGTGTCTTTGAAGATTGCCCCGAAGCGTTGGAAGTAGCCTTTTTCGACGTCGCGTCGGTACTCCAGGTATGCTTTGGGGTCTTTGAATGTCTCCAGTTGGGACTCGGAGAATAGATTTGGCTCCAGCCGGCGGACTCCGACGTTTCCGCTGCTGAATGAATCCGCAATCCAGGTTGGGTTCCGGGCGTAATGGTCGACATGACTAGCGAGCGGCTGGATTGATGGGAGAACCTGCAAGCCAGAAGCGCCGTTGCCGATGAGAGCCACTCGCTTTCCTTTCAGGTCGACATTGGGATCCCAGTTGGAAGAGTGGAATAGTCCCCCTTTGTAGTTGTCAATTCCCTCGTAGTCGGGTAGTTTCCAGGCATTGAAATGGCCAATGGCGTTGATCACGACGTCCAATTCTTCTTCATAGACCTGTTTCATGTTAGTGCTGTTTCCTCAATACTACCAGGTAGCATTTCCTACCTTGTTCGACCCATCGACGTGCTCAATGGTAACTTTCCACTTTCCTTTCTCGGGATTCCATTCAGCCTTTTGTACTTTCTGCCCTGCGCGAAGATACTGGTAGACATTGTGCTTGCGTGCAACTCCTTGCCAGTAGTCTCTAATCTCCTTTCCCTGGGCAAACTCTTCCGTCCATTGGGTATTCGGCGTGATATTGGACTGGTAGACATGTGCAGGAATGTCACAACGAACACCCGGGTATGTATTCTCAAACCTGTTTAACGGGTTAGCAACTTGCTCCTCTGCTAAAAAGACAGAAGATATACCATGTTCCGCCCTATTAGCACTGTTAGCTTATGTAGAGAGCAAGTAATAAAGTAACATACCACATCGGCATTCTTATCATAGATCCGCAGATCAAGTCCAGGCAGCTTCGCTGGTAGCATCACTCCTGCTGTAATCCCTGCCAGGCCTGCTCCAATAATACCCACCTTGATGGGCCTCACTTCATCAACTGGGTGCTCCTCCAGCTGGAACGTGGAGTTCTTTTCCTCCGGTGAGGTGTTCACCTCGCTGTCCACTGTCACGGTAGTCGCGCCCTTCACGTCGGGGTTACCCCGGATTGATTCGGGAACATGTCTAATATTCGAGAAGGGGACATCCCCGACTGGAGTATCCACGAGAGCCATGATACGTATACGAGTACTCAGTATGTGTGTGTAATGAGAGTGGTCATGGGTGACTCGGACATGTCGACTTCTTGTAGGTGAATTCACCCCGCTTGTACCTGCACGTCATTCGCAGCGTTTCACACGAATCCAGCATGTTCCCCTTCGCATCTGATAACTGCGCTGTCGCATACTCGCAGTTGCGATATCTGCGGCATTTCATTGGCGAGATTCACACCATCGCGGTGCCTGATGACGTGCGGGGGATCTCAACATTCTCCCCACTCTCGTCGCCATCAATTTACATTATATAATCCTCTATTGTCTCGGCCGACTTGTATATGCACATGTTAGGCAAACCGGCTGAAGCACTAAGTTAACCGCTCTGAGGGGCCCGAGACTGCTCTCAGGGCTGATCTTTCAATCTATGTAAAGTTTTCTCCATTTCATCTTTCAGCTTCTTTTTTCCCCCTATTTTATCTAATGCAATTGTCTATCTAGCGCCGTATCTAATTATCTAAAGTGAAATTTATCTTAGTCCTTCCCTTCAGGATTGATAATCACCCTTTGGGCCTCGAGGCTGCTACTGTCGGACTGCTCCTCCGTCTGCGCCTCAGATTGATTCCAACGGCCGAAGACCGCGAGAATCGTGAATGGGATTGTGAACCCCCACAGTGCGAAGCCCAATGCCATCTGGTTCAGGTTAGGCCAGTGAGTTGCGCCCACAGCGTAGGCAATGGTGCTACCAATGGACTCCCACGATCTCAGAATGCCCGTTGTTCTCGCGATATCGCCGTCTCCCTGTGCCCCTTTGATCTCGGCCATCAACCAATAGATATAAGTTTGCAGCACCTCATAGAAGAACTTGAAGAAAAGGTAGACCGCGAAAGCCGAGTTGAAGAAGGGGCCATCTCCCAGGTCAAACGCGGGTGCTTCAGCCATGCGGGAAAGTTTCACCTCTGTGGTGGCATTCCAGATCCAAGCTGCTGTGACAAAGACAAGGACGAAAATGTACATGCCCTTAGATCTAGCTTCTCTTGACACATGATTCAGATCGAGAATTACTCCCGTCAATATATTGGCTGAGGCGCCAACCACAGCTGTCAGGAAAGATGCAAGCGCTCTGGAGCGAACAGTGAAATATGCTAATTTCTGTCAGCGATATCATCGAGAAGAAGGACATCAGAAGCCGTACATGTCAAATAGTTTCCTTGGTAAGTTGTGCCAAACTGTCCAGCGAGAAAGACCGGAATAAGTAATAGCATATACTTATTCCTCAATTGCTTCCAGATAGCGCGAAACTCAATAGCGAACGTCGTTTTCTTCATGTAAGGGATCTTGGTGCCATTACTTCGGATCACATCCTGTGGTTGTGACAACAATAACGCAAATGGAGCTCCAAGGGATGAAATGGCAACAAGCCCTAGGTATGTTGTGTAGGTGACCTTGCCGACATGTGCAGTATTGACATTGAGCGCGAGGGATATCGCACCACCAACGAGCGGTCCCAGCTGCCGGATACCCATCCAGATTCCAACGTATCTAATATAATGGTCAGTTCAATCAAAAAAAGTTGCTTGATAATTTCCACTTGCCGTCCCCGTTTCTCCTCCTCCGGGTATCCAACCGCAATGGCAGCCTCACTGGCCCATAGAAGAGATGCTCCCACTCCACAGAGACCCGCCCCAAGCAAAAGAAACCACTCATTGCCATAGCGGTTGTTGCAGTATAGACCGGCCGCATAAGGAGTGTAAAATGCCGCTCCGATGAACAAGGTCCATTTCGCACTGATTTTGTTGGTGACACCGCCAGCAAGAAAGCAGCCCACTGACATCAATCCATATGTCAATGCATTCGCGGCGTTGTTCAGCAAAGGCTAGGTAGAGTCAGCGATATTTCTGCAGAGCTTCAATACTTGGAAGTGACTTACACTAGCGTTACCTCCGGCTCCAAGGTTGTTAAGGGCAGTCCAGATTCCCGGCTCGCAAAAGGCGACCAACCCTACTACAATAATCTGCAGAAGGCATGACCTGTAAGCTCTTTTTACTCGATCGAAAGCCATGGTAGAGATGGGAGGTTCCTGTCGCAATTATGGTACCAGGGAGAGGCCCTACTAGTTAGTTTATATTCGAGAGAGAAATAGCACGTCAGGGCCCATAATAGTCGCGATATTCTGATTAAGTCTGCTGTCTGCAGACCCCCACATTCGCCTAGGTGCATACAACAGATTCAACATAGATAACATCTACCTAACAACAGCAGACGCAAAACAAGGCAGCTTGGTGTGAAGTATCGTCCAAAATGGGTCCTCTTATCGATCTTTACTCTAAGCGTGGGGGCGTGTCCTATGAACACTGAGTTTAAGATCACATAATGGTCCACAAATATGATGAATCGTCAAAAGAAGTGTAGTGTTCAAATGACTCCCATTTGGTTAAAATGACACCATCAAATTCTTGGCACTGCAAATGCAGAACCAAATATAAGAGCTAGAAACGGCCAAGAAAATCCTATCACGAAAGATTCGACGCTGGCAGAGGCGCCTGGCTATCTTTTTGCCCTAAGCGATTCTTTCCCAAGTAATTCTTAGATGTCGACCCAAGGGGCGAACTCTCCAACCACTTCACATCCTCCAGGTCAATCACAACTAAACACCCACTTATTCATTCCATAGCATGCTACGCCAGTGATTATTGCCGTGAACAACTCCATGTGATCGAAGAGTTTCCAAAACGTTCTCGCGCTTGCCGTAGAAAGCTTGAATTTTCCTCGTTGATCTGTTGAATGGGATCCTAGACCAGCTCAGAATCATCATGTGGGCCATTTCCTGGCCATAATACCACTACGCTACGCGAGGTTCGAAGTGTCCCACATAGACGGGGATTTGGTACCACTATAAACTGCCAAGGCGGGAATAGGCATCGATTTCGGCCCGAATATAATGTTCTTTCTCGGTCGTGTAGCTTTGATAACCACAGCGTACCCGTGAGATAATGAAGTCGCTTTGAGGATAAACCCGTCCGGCTGCGGATGTGCAGTTGTTCGAATCCTTCATTTCGATGTCGCTGGAGTCGGCTATTTACCCTGCATGTGAACTCCCGTAGACTGATAAAGACGCTTTTTGCCGTGTTCGCTGACATTCGGGCTGTCTCTATCTACAGATCCCCCTTTGGCTATGCCGCGGATGCATGCTATAGTACAGTACGGCATTACGATCCGCGTTGATTGATCGGGCTTCCGACTTCGGGAACGCGTAGTATATGGTCTCTGGAAAGGTTTTCAGGATGGTTGGTACACGAATGGTGACGGATTCTTGACAATAATCTCTGGTCCAGGTAGAGAGCTTTTCATATGCTGCATCATGCCATTCTTGGGATGGAAGCTCGGCGGCAAGTGCATGAAGTGTAAATGCGAGCGCTCATCTAACCCACGGCTGTCCGGTGCAGGCGTTATTCATCGTCAGACTGAACATCTTGGTTAGCATACAGAAGTAATATTTAACGGTGCGGGGTGATCCTGGGGAATATGAAGAAATACGAAAGCCGGTCGGTACGGATAACCCCCTACGAGACCCCAATGTAGCTCATATACGAAAATATCTGAGTTATCACGGCGGTTACGAGGCGAGTGGCGTGAAATCCGAATGTAAAATACTTAAAAAAAGGCCTGGAAAATGACGAAGAAAGGCGAAAATTAATATAGTTAGCGAGTTCGCTTGAATCGGTACTTACGGTCCGAGTGGGTTTGTAACGCCATGTTACTCCAGGGCTCCATTCCAAGCTTTTACACACCCTGATCAATCATCCTTTCTTCAATTTCAACCGTCTCGCTATTCCTGCTCGATACATCCAATACATGAAGAAACCCAACCTCCCTCAAACCAAGCATGTCTTCTGCCCCGCCAACAAGTGGGCTCCGCCCGCAAATATGGACCCGAGAAGACCCCGAATTCTTCATCTCAACAGATCCCAAATATCTCTCAGTGAAAGCCGTCAACGCAGCTTTTGAACAAGATTTCGTCTACTGGGTCAAGGAACCCTTCCCAGAGGATGTGCTATCCCAGATGCTCTACGGCTCCTTGAGTTTCGGAGTGTATCGGTGGACCAAACCAGCGCAAACTGACGAGCCTGTCTCTCCATCGCCAGAGGATACAGAGCAGATTGGACTTGCTCGTGTTGTTACAGATGGGTGCTCGTTTGCTTATTTGTCTGATACTTACGTTCTTCCTCACTACCAAGGGCATGGGTTAGGGAGTTGGCTTGTCGGGTGTGTTGCGGCCACATTTTCGAAAGAGAATATGCCTTACTTGCGGAGGATTATGTTGCTTACTGACGATGAGCGTATGCAAGGTTTCTATGCTAAGATGTTTGGTGTGAAGGTTGTTGGGCGTGAGGAGAGGAAGGATATGGGGAGGGATTTGGTATTTATGTGTGCTAGACCGCATGCGCAGTCATAATTGAGAATGAATTGTTTAGATTTGAGCTGGGTAGCAACACCTTTCGATCAACTTCATTGCTCTCTACCATGGCAGCTGCAAAGGCGTCGGCAGGTTCTTTCCAAGAACCTCTTCAGCTGTGCCAATATCGCTGTGAACTTAATTAGCCGAGGTTCTTCCTTAAAGAAAAAGGTCATGTCTCACTTTGGCCCTCTCGGTGCCCAGAATTCTCCTGTCCTGTTGATATCAAACCCTTCGATGAAAGATGCAAGGGACTGCGCTGCTTCATCTGGCGTGACAGCTATCAAGAATGTATTAGCAAGATTCATTTTAGTAGCTCAGTAGGTGACTTACCTCCCCCTGCATCCCAATACTTATCAAACCCAACACCCTTGGTCATCTCTGTCCGCATAAACCCAGGATGAACCAATCCCACAGCAATCCCCTTAGCCTTCAAATCCAAGCTCAAAAGCTTCCCAACCATATTCAAAGCCGCCTTACTAGCATGATGACCAAAGTTGCCTCCGCCCTCTTTCTCATGACGAAGCGTGATACTCCCGCTCTCACTGCTAACCAGTATCACTTTACTTCCCTGATCTAGTAAGCCCGCCTTAACAAGATTATGCACCACAAAGACAGGACCAATCGCAGATGTGGTATACATCTGCACTTGCTTCTCCCAGTCTGGGGAATCGAAAGTTTCGAACCCGAAGTATCCCGCTGAGATGATGACGGTTGAAAGCTTTGCCGAGGGAAGTCGCGAGATAAGCTTCTGGCCCACGTCTGGTTGGGATACATCCACGCCTGTTAACCAGGTGACTCCTGGGCTTGGTTCTGGGGTTGATGAACGTGCTGTTGCATATACATGGGTACCTGGCTTGGATGAGTATAGTGCGCGAAGAGAGGCTCCTAGGCCTCGAGTGGCTCCAACGATTAGAATACTAGACATCTTGAAGTGAATAGTGTGTAGGTCCAGTTCTGAGCTTTTCAGCTTCTCGGGAGTTCAAGTTTTGATGTTGCAGATGTCACGCCATTTACTCCCCCCGATGACGTAATTACTCTATCACGTTTTGGGAAGTATACAAACACGACAGGTACATGCGTACTTGATTGACATCCCCTTGCTCAATAATTTCTAACATTTTATCCTGAATCTTTGACGGTGGTCACTGAAAGACATCACAAACTGTTGTCGAGCGACTAAGTATGAGGAGTGATCTTCATTTACTTCATTCATGATCTTCTGAGCGGCAAATTTCTCGTGGACACATGCACATACTTTGGCCCGTTCGTCATTCATCTCCGCTCGAACAGTCGTCATCTTTCCACCGGAATTGATCACCGTGCATATCAGTTGCACTGTAGTTCCGAGCGGTAAAAGGCCGATGTAAATGACAGAATGCGAGCGGCTGACTCCGAAGTTTTTCCAGAATCCCGGTCGCCCAATGGTCAACAGAGAAGTGGAGTTAAGAGGGTGTCGAAGAATGCGGATATCGCTCCACCGTGTAGATCGCCATCTTTGTTGCACATAAAGTCGCGGACAGTGAATTGGTAGGTAATTTATGTTGCTCGGTATTGATACTTAGCAGCGTGGATCTGCTGTGGTAGAGGAGAGCTGAAGCCGTTGTAGATGGGATCATTAGCCACGGAGGCCAAATATGCGTGTATACGATCGGGTAACGAGAGAGAAAAGTCTGTATTTCGATATGCGTCGGTCATTGTGGATATCCGTTTCAGGGCAATTAGGAAGTTGAAGAAAACTAGGTATATATTTGGCTCAAAACCAATAGTTATATAGATGTATCCAGGTTTGATGTCCACATCTACAGTACTGAGCATATAGCCGGTTCCCAGCCCCCCGATTGATATACCCTCATCACTGTGGACTCCGTGACCCGGAATTAATATGTCTTTTGACCAGACGCAACACGTTGTTGATCTCAATATAATCTCTATTCTCACATTTTCACGGTATCCATGGCATTTCCATTCAATGAGATCAAGTTTCGCCCTGTCTGATGTCTGCTGTGAGGTGATAATGTACGATTGAGACTGTCATGGAGATATTAGCTCTAGGAAATTAAAGCTCAAGCCATTGGACACTATCCTTTTTATTTGAACAATGCCGGTGCAGCCTTGGGACTGGTCCGGTGAGGCCTGACGATCTAGTTAGATGCAGCGTGATCTAGTACTTGACTAGTTATATCTGAGGAAGATGTGTGACACAAGGAAACTCGGCTCTTTGAAGTTCTGCAAATATATGGCAACATTAACTATACTAAACAAGTTGTTGTAAATACCAAGGAATAGAATTGGAGCATGTGTTGTGTACGAAACGAAGTGATAACATCCATAGAGTGACAAAGAGCATACGCATACTTCTAAAATTAGCTCTAGGTATGGATAGGATGTCTTTCCCAAGGTAGCTGCGGTATAGCATTAGACTGATATTAAAATCAAAGACACACTGCTTAAACAAATACTTTCCCTCTATTCTGGCCCACAAATGTCTCTTATGTATCGGCTTATACCTCAAACTGACAAAAACTTGGAATGACGCGCGGCTTAGTCATGCTATCTAAAAAGAGTGAGAAGTCTAATCCAACTCGAGACCTCGAGAGTCCCAGCGACAAGCCAGTCAATTCATGCGTGCCAGGGCCCAAGAATGACTGGCTTTGCCAAACTCGCCCTCTCTGTCCAAAAAGTCCGGGCTGCGATCCACAGGAGGAAGGCGGGCGCCAAGGACGGTCCCAAGCGCGGATCTGAGTTAAGGTGAGATCGGAGCTGCGTGAATCCCTCCCTGTCTAATTCCTTCTCTCAGGCTGAATCATACCGGTCTACCACCTTCCTCGCCATGGGACCTCCCGGTCGAGATTCAAATCACCATATTTGCTTATTGCGGCATCACCGACTTCCACCCGCTGAGACTCGTCTGCAAGGCCTTCTGCGAGCTACTCACGTTCAACGAGCATGAAATCGTCCGCCGATACCTCCGCCAGCGTCGACACGGCACCCTGCCCTCCCCGATTGACAATGACCGCACCTATACCCGCAATCCAGCGGACGACGTCGTCCTCTTGTCCGACCTGTTCCCGCCGTTCAAAAGCGCTAGAGGTGGTCACCTTTACACATTCAAGTACCTGCATGGGCTACGGCGGCGGCAGAAGCTCTGTTCAAGGCTCTGCTACTATCTCGCGGATCGTATCCTTGATCGTTTCATGCAGACCGAACCCGCGGTCATGAGGGCCTCATTCCCTACGAAGAAAAACGAACGCAATGCCCTTGTCAAGCGCGGCATAGCTAGCATATGGTTCCACCTCGCACCTCTCATGTAAGACGGCGCATGTATTCTTGCTTAGGACTATCACTAACCTATCCTCGAACTAGGTACTATACCCTCTATTTCCTCGAATCATACGCGTCAGCGAGGCGCGAACACACCAACATGCTCGTGCAAAAATACGAAGCAGGTCATCTACCAGTACCTCTTCCACTAGAAATCCGACAGAGGATGTACCGCGAGTTACAGACCCGAATACTTCAGACTCCTCCATTTACCAACACGGCCACCTTGGTCGCGACACACCACTGCATGCATTTACTGGTTTCATATATACGATACACAATGTCCTCCGAGGGACCAGTCGTAATGGACGATTCATGGATAAGCTCATTGCTCACGCTGGCGCCATTCGTGCGCATCGTGGAGTTTTTCTCCGCGGAGATTGGAGACGGGGGGAGCCAACGCACTCAGCGCAAGGACTTTATGTATAACTTCTATCATGACATGACGATGTACGAAAAGGATCATATGCATTCAGCTGTCTTTGCTCGTGCCTCCGCGCAGAACTTGCATAGTTCTGTCGAGGATATTTGGTTTGCCGCTGCTCATGCTGAGTTGACTGCTCGCCGGGCCATTCCTCATGATGTTGAGCATGTTTGGGTTTGGAACGGTATTCCTATTGTTTTTGGGTGTCCGGATTGTCACCGCACCAGAGGTTGGCAAGCATGATACTACGTACACGGTGTTGGTGTTGTTGTTGGCGGCGTCGGATCTAGACTTTTATCGGAGATACACTGGAGTTACATCGGTATTGAAGCCAATTGCATTTGCATCTAAGTCATCTATCATTATCTTCCTTTAAACCCTTCTTCACTGCCGTTCGGAAATTACCCAATTGGGTTTGATAGTTGTTTGTACTGTTTGCACCGGCACGCGTCTGTACATCGCCGAGTATCAACTTCATTGAACAAGCTCAAATATAGCATGTGAGCAATAATCAAAGAAGAACATACCAACCTCCAACATGGAGCAGGCAGACACAAGACAATTATTCAACACTTCATGGACCCTCCATCGTGTCTCACCCCTCCACCATGGGAAAGACAGCGAGGCCCTCTTAAACGAGACCGCCTTAAAAATATACGCAACGCGTCTCCGCGATCATCTAACAGGCGACGCTCTAGCCGGGCTACAAACAAGCACCGCTACAGCAGATGATGATGCGCTCTCCAGAACAGGCGCCCTAAAAGAGTGTCTCTGGCAACCAATCTCAACACGCGGCGATGCGTCGTCCAGCACTTCATTCCCTGGGATTCTGGTAACGCTCGAATATGAACATATAACCTACAAGGCTGCTCTGCTCTCCGAGCCGGAATCAGATCCCAATCACCGTGAGGGTTCGACTTCTCTCCCGCTCCTCTTGACCAGATTCCCCACTGCGCTACGGCAAACCTTCATCTCGTTCTTAGCGACTAATTTCGATACCTACTGTTCGAATTTCCGCTTATCCTCCGGTTTCCTCTGCTCCAGCTTGGAGATGTACGTTGATGTTTTGCGCGCTGAGCGGGGTTCCGTCGAAGATGCTATCAAAGAGCTACAGCTGACGCTTGCGTTTTCACCATCTATCGCGCCGGCTTTGAAAACCCTCAATGTCAGTGTGTCGCGCGCTTCGTTGACTGGATTCCTGCGTGATCGGTCTGCGCCAAAATCCCGCACTTTACGGCAGAAATTGAAGAGTCCTTTCATTGCCAATCTTACTGAGTATCTGGAGACTCATCTTGCTATGAAGCTGGATTTGGATGATTCTTCTGAGAATCAGGTCTCTAAAAAGCATGTGCGATTGTCCAAGGTCGCCTGCGCTGCTTTTGTTCTTGGTAGCGAGGGGCGCTTGAAGCTTGTTGTGGCTGCTGATCAGGATGATGGGGATAGGGGTGATATTGGGCTTCCTTTCGAAGCCGGCGGGGCGATTCTTCGGTCTATCATACGGAGAGCTGTTATTGGAGATCAGGCTGCTACGTGAGCTTCTGGGTGGTCAGCTGTATCAGCTTGAAATTGGGACACGTTACGAAAACCCAGAGCGCAGATCAGGACACTGCTTCAATCCAAATCATGAGCAGCACTTGCTTGGACTCTTGAGCATTCTGGCTTCATGCCGCTGCCGAATACGGAGTCTATTTAGTGCAATCGCCGGCGAACACACAACTGTGAGAGCATGTTGAGCCGCTCAATTGTTGCTCTTGTCACTACGATGTGGTTCACCCGTCTGTATCTACTTCAGTTGCAAGTGATAGCTGGCCCCGTCGACAAAAGGCCATGCATGGTCAGAAAACCCGATTTAGGGGATATCTGAGAGAGCGAAGCTGTTATCTCAAACCTGGGAATTTGTGATACCTGTAAACTCGACGAAATCCAAAGAATCTGACTAGCATAAGCTCTGGAGTTTCCCTTTAAGATGAAGAAGTGATAACGCTCCAACAACTTCTATTTTGTCTAGAGTACCAAAATGCAATATATCACAAGACACATCTGAATCATATATACACCTATCTCCAGTCCTAGCATAGTAGAATCTAAATCTCCTGCGTCTGATCCTCAGTCTCCGCCAATTGTAATGCCTCATCGACGCTAGGCACGAAATGGCTCAAACCACCACACTGCTCAACAATACCACTGCGCTTAAACATGCTGAACACATTGCTATTCGGCAAACGGCAGAAGAAAACCCTAACATGCTGCTCTGAATATGCATGCACAATCTCCGAGAGAACCTGGGTACCAGATCCATCAATACTCGTCACGCCGTGGACGTCGAAAATGATATTCTTATTATGTTCCGGTGCGCGCATCCGTGGCAGAGAAGGATGAGCACGACTAGAACCGTAGAGTTCCAGCCGGCGCAGACGGTTCTTGAGATCGCCTGTGTTGGCGAATGTGAGGGGTTCGGGGACTTTGACGATCAGGGCGCCTTCGACTAGTTCCACACTTTCTGGGTGTAGTTCGGCGTTCTCGAAGCGTGTTGGTGTGCCAGACACTTTGCCTAGAATCTGGATGCGTGGTTGGGTTGCGTGTCGGATGAGGATTATCACTGAGAGGCCGATCCCCAGGGCCATGCCTAGTTCGAGAGAGTAGAAGATTGTTGCGGTGAAGATCAGGAGCATTAAGACTATCTCTGTCCAGCCACGGAGGCGAAAGAAGAACATTAGGTCTGAGGGACATTCTTCTACTAGAGAGTATGCTACCACGGAGATCATGGAGCAGAGGACGGCTTTCTGTTGGGAGTTAGCATTGTCGGAACATTGTCGTAGGAGTAGAACTGAGACTAACCGGAAGGTAGGAAAGATACGGCAATAGCACCATGATGCAGACAAAGGTGATGATGCTCACAAAGACGCTAGTCATAGGCGAGCGAGCTCCTGTTTGAGAGCTGAGTTTGCTTCGTCCGTATCCGCCAAACGCAGGGAGGGCTTGGAAACAGCCACCAATGACATTGGCCACGCCCAGTGCAACCATCTCGCGATTGGCACTCATATGCATGCCCTGGATTCCATCGGAGCTGCCTTCGCCCAGTCCTTTGGCTGCAACCGACGACTCGAAGAAACCAAGAAGTGCGATGATGAAGGCTTTGCTCATGGCTGTCCGTACATGTTTCATGTGAGCAAACTGGAAAGGCCAATTGAAGGCGAAAAGTTTCCCAGAACCGATCTCTGTTTTCCCAAGAAGTTGAAGTCCTTTGGACTCCCAGTCAAGGTGCCAAGCCAGGACTGCTGACAGGGCGACGACGAGGAAGCGGTCAGGGAAGTATATCACTTGGGGATAGCGTGGGACAAGCCACTTTTTCAAAGTACTGTGGCGCGATGTTAGAACATTACAGTGACATGGAGATCAACAATACATACCGAAATATCATGATAATAGAAAAGCTAACAATCGAGACAATGGCAGTAAGTCCATGGGCCTGTCCAGCATGTCGAGCAATGAAAATCAATTTTTCAACACTGGTACCGTGGCTGATACTGGACTCTCTGGCTAGTTGCGCGAGACCCAATTCAGGGATAAGCTGGTCTACAAAAATGACAAAGCCAATGGCAGTGATGAATCCTCTCAGGAATGGTCGACTGAGCACATTGTCTAAGAATCCTAGACGGGTCAAACCAGCAACCAGGATCATGCTGCCGGACATGGCCGTAGCAACTCCTACGACCACAGCATTTGCAGCAGGATCGTCCTCGCCTGCATTGCCTTGCAAGACACTTGCTTTGACAATGGCACCTGTGAGAAGGGATCCGGCAGCCTCTGGTCCAACTACCAATAGGGGACAGCTGCCTAGTATGGCATAAACCATAGGATGAATCACAAACGAGTACAAACCGCTGATGGGTGGCGCATGGGCAAGGTTGGATGCTAGAGAAAGGGCCATCGGGATATAGATAGACGCCACAGTCAACGCGGCCATGAGATCCCCTCGAAGGAGAGACCAATGGTATTGTCCAACCCAATTGAAAAGAGGAATGTAATAGGATAAGTATCTGCAAGCAACTGTCAGTGCCAATTCGGGTAAAAAGTCGAAGCAATGACTTGGAATCCACCATACTGTTTTTTTGTATCATTCATTGAGAGCGTGGTAAGAGAAGACTTCATCTGGGATGGAGTCTCTGACCCTGGGCGTGACTCCGGGTGGTCATCGATCCCTCTAGGGCCACTGGCCGCGCCACCAGTCCCTCCATGTCCATTATATCCAAAACCATCTCCCGATTCCCCGATGTAGTATTGCCGCCCATCTTCTAATCGCGGAGAAAAGGTCCCATGGCTGCAGCGCCGTTCACCACATGCGGGATCTGCGCTATGATAGGATTGCAGGAGCCGAGTTCTCACGTCCGGCCCGCTCGAGTTTCCCGTGACGGTTCTGCTTTGTGTCGAGCGCTGAGCAGTATTATTCGGGTTTGTCGAAATCCCAAGTCCATTTTGAGGGGAACGGAAAGCATCGACAATGCGGTCTCGTAGCGTCCGACGCCCTTCGGACTCGGGGAGTAAGGAACTGGTCTCAGACATTGTATAACAATAACAAAGATAAATTCAAAGTAAAAATAAAGAGTCCAAATGGCCCGCCATATGGTCTCACAAAAAGCAAGAAATAGATTGAGCTTGGAGATCGGAGTCGGTCAAGTAAGGGCGCGCTAGGGACTGATAAGCGGGGAAAGCGTTATCACGGAGTGGCCGATCGGAGGTCTAACACCGCATGGTCGGAGACCATGAACTGCATGGTCTGACTGACTCTGTTTGATTCGATGCCACTGTTACTCGACTTGTAATCCGATGGCCTCGTCCTCCAGGTAAACTGTAGATCGAGAGCGGTGAGTCACGTGATGTAATCGCCCTCAGGTCCCGTGACCGACAATGTGGGTTTTGTGAGTCCGCCACAAAGACAGGTGAATTGTGCTTCCATTCAAGTCGCTTACCCACTTCGGTCTTTTTACTCGGACCTTTCGCTCTCGCTTCATCCCGGAGATCGACTTGATCATCTGGACTCTCCCGTATACCCTGTCCCTTCATCTGAGATTTCGCCGAGAAAAAAAGAAACCCCGCCAAGATGTCTCTCACGAACTGTCGGTTCTACGAGGACAAGTATCCCGAGGTGGATAGCTATGTCATGGTCAACGTCAAGCAGGTGCGAATTACTAGGTCATAATTTGCGTGCGAAGTCAGGACTAACTTCTTGCGACCGAGCTAGA